TGAAAAGTGAATTGACTGGATGTTTTGTGTGTGAAATTGAATACATATTTAGTTATTGGTGCAAAGGGAGTTTTGCTTTTAAGGCCCTTTGCACCAAAAATCTGACAGGAAGGTTGCAAAATCCAACACTGGGGTCTCTTTGGTGATAAGTTTGGGAGCAAACTGTGCAATATCAGGCGAAACAAAACTAAAGTTGCAAATAGGCCCAGCGACCTCCTGTTTTGTGAGTGCGGCAATTTTCGCCTCAATATTGAGCCACGTAAAACAGTTTAAAAAGTGCTTCTGTGTCAGCCCTCATATTTCTTTTTTCCGGGCGCTTCCGACGGCTTCCAGTTAAAAATGACCAATCGCAGCACTTAATCTTCCCGAACCGAGAACCAGAAAGAGAAGTAGAGAAGAGACGCACACAGAGAGCGAGCGAGCGAGAGGGGGTTAAAAAAAAATGAAACGTCTTTACACTCATCCATTTTCCTAACTGAATGTTTCCCACGGTTTAGATTTTGTGTCTCACTCATTTCATTTGCCAAAACCCAGCAGCGGTTCAAAGCTGAGGAAAGCTTTGCGGAAAGTGAAGATGAATAACTGCGTCTGAAAAGGTACTCGACTCAAAAATAATGCGTTTTCACACGTTTTACATCAATGTCTGCTTTAAAGATGGGCCTTGCCATGTTTTGTAATCGCTATCGACGATTTCTGAGACGTGCTAAGTTTTTCCTCCCTGCAGTTTTCACCTTGCATGCGAGTGAAATTGTTTTAACCCTTAACAACAGCTCACGTTTATATATAACGCTTTTCACAGAGGATAACGTTCTCAGGGTGCTTTACAATGACATGGTCAGATGCAGAGCAGGGAGGAGGGGAAGTGGGGAGTTTACCCTAAGGACCATAGGTGCGTTCGAAGTGGTAGGTTCTTAAGGCACGACCTGACAGTACATCTAGAAGACGTGAAAAGCCCTATATCAAATGCAAGTATTGCTGGAATTATTAGATTACATAGCAAGTTCCAATACTGTGTGAAGTCTATATGTTTGCACGCATCCCAGCACTGGCAGTCTTTACTCCTTGAACACACCGGCCCAATTTTCAGAAGCAGTACAAGATGAACGGCGATGATAATCCTTGCATTTGATGTAGTGGCCTTTTCACGTCAATGGAACATCTCAAGCACTTCAGATTGTGCTGTGGATTGTAGTAATCCTGCGTACTGTACGCAAATGGGTTCATTCCCTTCCCCGCAGCAAATGAGCCCATGCTCCAGAATTTGATCGACCGTAAAAAGCTTTGGCTCCAAATTGCGAGTCATTAAACTTTACAGAAACGGTCTTGCGGGAGTCAGAGACAATCCAACGTGATAAGGCGCTAGATCAGACGAGAGGGAATAAAGGTGGGTGCGATGCAGCCATTTCGAAATGGAAATGACTTTGGTGTGAATTAAATTTAGCTCCAAACTTAACAAACTGACCTGTTCAGGTCAGTCCTCCACTGAGTAACATTTTCATAACATGGAGCTCTCGATCTTTCTTTCAAGTCTTAAAAACGAGTCGTGCATCTGATCAGGGTGACAGTTGATTGATTGTCTGAAGTTGATTTACCACCGCAGTGCACTATTAATCCCAGGAAAGCAAATTCACGTCACATGTTAAAACCTTTTAAATTAATCTCTTCCGCAGCTCATTCACATCGAACTCGAAAGTGTCGTCACACAGTGCCTACAGTAAACCCGCTTGAGAAGAAATAGAAAGCTTGCATTTTTATAGCACCTTCTCATGTTGAATCATCTCAGAGCTTCTTTGGGTAATTAGTGTCAAGTGTCGCGACTGTTTATGTAGGCAAATGCAGTAGCTAATTGGACCAGCGAGGTCCCCTAAACAGCTATGAGCTGAACTAGCGATGAACGAACCATCTATCTGTTGGCTGTAAAACCGGGAGAATTGATGAGAATAGACAGCGTGACAGGAGTTAAGTGTTGACAGGAGTGGTTTGGCTGTAGAAAGCCCTCCAACTAATTCTGGAAGAATATCTGCCCTACTGTCCATCCATTGACCTACCAAGCCTGTGAGTGATATTGCTGGTGACAACGAGAGAGAGAAAAAACACCATCACAAGAAAGGTGCGTTCCTATCTTTAACCCAGGGTGGAAAGAGAAGAGAAAGAGAGGGAGTACCTTATGCATTTACAATGCGGCAAATCTTTAGCAGGAGCAGTTTCCCCAGTGAATCACTTCCTGGCGAATTGGCTGAATGGTCTTGTTGGAGGCTAAAGGAGAAAAAGTATTCGAAAACTTCTTTTTTTGGCGAAAAATTACCGATGAGCTCTGGCAATGCCGTCTTTCCAGTCAAACCCATGAATGTTGCAGCGCTGTTTGGTTTATTTAAGTCACAAATATTTCAAAAATTACAAAATACTCAAATGGAGAAAACACAGGACTCACAATTTTTTTTTGTCTCTACTTTTTTTCTCGTTTGTTTACATTGTGTTATCCCATGGCAAACTACTAATATATACATTAAGCTTCAAGATATATATAAATTTTAGCAGTCAGAATGTACATTCTGCTAATGCTGCAGTTGAAATAAGAAGCTGGACCATTAGACAACATTTAACATCACGTCTGAGAAGAAAAGAGCAAAATGATGAGGAAAAATAAACCGAAACTTGGGGTCACTATCCTTGGTGTAAAGACACCACAAAGTTCTTTGATTAAACACGGTCCTATGACAGTGAACATCACATAACAGTCTACAATGGCAAATATACAGCCCTTGATACAATCAAGGGTAGAACACTTATGCTCCGTAAGGAACCCAGTCATCCAGTGCAGACATCCACCAGACTCTCTGACCATGTGCATTATTCACAATTAAAGCTTACATTTGTAAAGTCCTTTTTATTTCTCTCTCCTCCCCCTCTCTCTCTCTCTCTGTTTCATTTCTTTTTCCTTTCTAGTTGTCGAAAGATATAGAATCTAAATCAATGATCAAAGCGAGACTTGTAAATCGGCTGATTTGAAATGAATGAACTCCCCCCCCCCCCCTATTTTTTTATATATTGGTCTCACAAATCCCTAAAACCGCTGACATCGTTCCGGTGACTAAAATAAAGCTCAGCTATTGCTCAAGCCTTGAGGTCATTATTTTGCTGTGTTTTTTTTAATATATCTATATATATAAAAAAAGAATACAAATGCACGAGGTAATTAAGAGCCAAAAACTAAAAAAAAAAGGTCGTTGCGACCGATTGCGAAGGAACTTTTAAGCCGAATGATATCTCCAATCGTTGTCTCCAGCAAATGCATTGCGCTTTCCTTCAACCCCCAGAACACAAAGGAATCTCCAGTCAAGACTGCGATGCGTATCATCACAAGCCATTGCTCAACGCGAACGCTCTCTCTCCCTTTACTGATGTAACGCAGTCTCGAATCCCTCCCCGCTCTCTTCCCGCACGCACGGCTGTTGATTTACTTCGCGTGGGTTGACAGGACTGTTTTGACAGGCGTCCGAGTGGGTGAATTTGCCGTTCAATATGACACGTTAACCGAGTGGCGCTAAAGCAAAGCATGACGACGGATTATATTTTTGGTCCTTTCCCCCCACTGTCATGTTCCCACCACCCCCTTTCTTCTCTCCAGCTGTCCCAAGCCTTTTGAACCCACGTATGACAATAACTGGGGGAAGCTGTTTGTCCATGATTCTGATATCTATTAGAAGACATTGATTCCCCCACCACCGCCCATAGGTTGGCAAACAAAACACCACAAACCCACAGTTCCGTGCAATACTCGAGTTTCAATGTAAAAAGCAAAGGTGTACTGGAGAGCAAGCACAGTTAAAAGCACCAAATATAAAAGTAGCTTAAAAGTCTCGTTTCTTACAATGCGTTAATCTTTCGTTTTAAAAAATATGAAATCCTAAAATGACTATAAAAACCGAGATAAAAGAATCTTCCGTCTCTTAAATATTTCGAATAGGGAACTTTCGTTTTAAAAAGTTTTTTTTTCGGGTGTTGTGTGTTTTTTGTGTTTTAAAATAGCACGGAAAGCCCACGTCTGTTTCGTGCTGTTCCTGGCAAGAGTTCAGTCTAGTAACAGTCTGCACTGCTGACAAGCAGGGGAATCGCATATCCACCCCAGCGATGGTTAAAATACACCAATGATAGTGAAGCCTTCAATTCTTTTTCCTTAAATCAATATTAAAACCTGCGTTGGTTGGTGTTCATCTGGGACGCAAACCCTGCAACCTTTTTGATGCATGCCACTGCTACTGAGACCAGTGGCGGCTGAACTTTTTGCATCGGCCGACAAAATAATCATAGAAGTAACATAATAGCATACGTAGGATTTATGCCGTAATTGGAAGAAATAGTCAATCAAGAAACATCTTGTTGGCCAACCCCTGGTCGGTCACACTGCCGTAAATCAAGAAATATTCAATCAGGAAACATTTATTTTGTTGGCCAACCGAGTTCAGGTTGTTTAGACACATCAAAAGACCCCACTCAATTTCAGAGGAAACATTTGTATCACCAGACAGCTAACGTCCCCTTTAATTAAAGGAGCTAAAGCTGTTTTAAAACACTTAGCATTGCAATCTGTTATCCCATGAGAAATCCACAACTAATCCTTTTTACGTACAAGGTTAATTTCTGTTGATATTTACAAACTCAAAAGCCATGCCACAGATTTGAGTTGAGACGATATCCTAAATATTACTCGAGGAATCATAAAATGTACTATAGTACTTATACTTCAAACTTACTCTGTTTTGCTTTCTCATTTAAAGGTTAGATTGTATTGTGCAGTGACATTTGGATTTCAGTCTAGTACCGCTAAATGAGCAGCTGGAAGCATAAGGAAATGTGAGCTTCCAGTCTCCCAAGTTACAGAATATGATGACGTGCAAAGATCCATAGCCAGCCTTGAAATAATCTCCTTCTACAGATGAATATTACAAAATAAAGTTGTACGATCCTTTTGAAAAAAAAATATTTTCAACAAGATTTTCCTCCTCCCTTTCTCTCTCTCTCTCTCTCTCTCTCTCTCTCTTTTTTTTCCTCATCCTTGCAGGATGCCAGAGTGAAATGTTAAGTTCCTTCCAAAGAACTGTTCGAAATGGCCTCTGTTCCCAGTGAATGGGCCCTTCGGGGGTTTATAGTGGCTTGTCGCTCTCTTTTTTCAGCCGACTGCAAGCAAAAGAAAAAAAAGGGAAAAAGTTATAGGAACAGTAAACTCCTCGGCGGAGGGCATTTTTTGTTTTGTTTTGCTTTTTTTTTTTTTGCATTCCATTTTCATGCCTTTCGAGATGTTACGATTAACAAAAAAACACAGTTCCTCTGGTGACTCGACTGGTAAAAGCCAGATAGACAGACACACACGGAAGATCCCAGGATCAATTTCCCCCCACCGCCCCCCCCCCCCTGAGTTCTGCACTATCTAAGCTCAACCCAAAGGTGAATGGTTACTGCAAGCGGCCTCAATCATTCTGGGATAAGGAAGAGAATGAGAGAGAGAGAGAAAGAGAAAGAGAGAGAGAGAGAGAGAGACAGAAACACCAGTGTTGCCCTGATTCTGATCGCCATCAAATGGCTGGAGGATCTGTGCGTTAAAAGACATCAGGTGAGGTCAGTCAGGATGGAGCTCAGCTATAACGCCCCTCTCTGTCAGTCTGCTGACACCCCCTGTCTTGGCCCTCACGCATTAAGAACAGCCACTTGGGATGTGGGAGCAGAGGGCAGACCAGGACCTGTGGAAAGCTCTTGTCAGCTGGAGTCAGCTTACAGGAGATAAGGTGGTGAGAGGGGAGAGGGAGTGAGAGGTGAGGTGGGAGACTCCATGTTTGTGCTGACTTACCTGGGCTCAAATTTAAAGTCAGTGAAAATGATAAGACCGAATCATAATCGGAGCACACACTCCCTGTCTCCCCTAGTCATGGCAGGTTGCCTGCATTTGACAAAAAAAAAAACCCCAAGAACTTTCAGCCCAGCGTAAGGTTGCTTTATCGCAGGATGGTAGTGAACTTGTTCACTGAAATACATCAGTGTTTTTTTTAAAAAATAATATATATATATATATAAATAAAAGAACAATAATCAAGTCAAAGCACATCAAGAACGTTAGCAGTTTTCATCCAACTCTGCTCGGCCACTGTTAAAAGTCACCGGTAGGACTGAACGAAACCGAGTGTGACTCTACATTCGTCTCAAGCGTTCTAACTTCCAAAGAAAGCACAAACGAGAAAAATAATCTTGCAGCCACGAAGGCAAGAAGGATACTGAACTCTCTCCCCTCCCCGGCTCCTCTCACCAACCACCCACTTGCCCCCCACCCCCCCCTCCCCACCCCCCCAACCACCCAAAAAAAAAAAAACCCTCTCACACAACAGTCCAGCTGAACACATCCCGAAGATTACGTTAGAATTTGAAACATGGTGGATGGGTCTTTGACCTCCCCCACCTTCCCACATGAAAATACAGCTGAGAGAGAATGTTATGGAAGTCATTCAGAATGCAGTCAAAAATGCCATGAGGAAGAAAGGAAACACAGACATGCAAATGTCTTCGATTGTAGCCTTAAAAAAAAGTTTCAAAAATTTAGTTGTAGCACAAAGGTTGGTTCGGTACAGGCTGAATAGGCCAGGCGCAATTTTAGTGCTCAGCTGCCCGTTTAAAGATTTGCAGTTTTGCACGAAATGTTTTTCAGCGCTATTTTTTTTTTGTTGTTGGTCGTTTCTCTCTTTTTTTTTTGGGCACGCCGCTAATTTAGCCAAATGCATTAGGGGCTACGCGAGAGATCGAATGCACACAAAGGGAAAAATTCCCACCAGACTAATTTTTTGAAACAAAAATCCAGGATCTAATGAGTAAGTCACTTACAAGTTTTGTTGCAATCTAATGAAGTCTTTACCTCATTTGAGTTCACAAGTCAGTGTTTATGGGAGCATAAACGGATGCAGCTATGGTTTTCACCTCGCCTAATATTGGAAGGAATCAAGAGTTTCATGAGAAGAGGAAGGTTCCTTATTAAGTTGTGTGTGTTTGTTTTTTTGTTTTAAAAAAATGTTTTCCAATTTTTCTCTCCTCCGCGAATGAGCTCAATGACTCCTACTGGAGCATGGCTTCACAGGAGCTTGGTTGCCATATTGCCCAAGCAGACATTTGGTTCAATGTTGTGCCAGCGGGCTGGACTGGGCTGGGCTGGGTGATGTGTGTGGCGGTGGTGGTGGGCGGGGGGGAGGGGTAGCCGAGCTTATCCTGGCATAAACACCTATGTATTTTTCGCACTGTGGAGTGAGCGGGAGTGGGGACCCTAGATGCCTCTTCTGGGTTTTCGCCTAATTGTGATTCAGGGACCCCACTAAAAAGTGTGCATTTGTACAGCTTGTGATAAAACTGCAATTGCCCTTCCAAGGTGTAAACACTTTCCAACACTGCCAATGCTCACACGTGAATAAAGGCCACTTGGGCTAGAGGTGACTGCCACCTATGGATGAGTAGCCCGGAAAAGGGAAGAGTTTGGAGGTGGGGGGGGGGGGGCGGAGAAAAGTATAGGAAAAAAATAAACCTCTCGCTGTGAATCCAAAATGTGGTCCCTGACCCAAAAAAAAGTGTTACTTCTCGATTGAGAGTGATCTCAACTTCGGAAGATAAAAGTAAGTTGTTAAGCTACGCTGGGGTTTTTTGGGGGATGGGGGAGTTGAAACAAAATAAAAGGTTGAACCTGAACGACAGTGTTTTGTTTGTGCTATTTAGCTCGGAGCAGCTCCTCTCAATGTAACCTTCGGTACACAAACTGGACGGTGTACTGACGGGATACTGAAGGTATCGTTCTGCAACTGAACAAGCCACTCGCCTAACCCACAATCGGGATGTATTTTGTAGGGTTTGTGCAGGAAAATTGCAGTATCGCCGTTCAAAAGAGACCATTTTTCCCTTTGCCCGTTGTTGCATGTTCACTCTTCTAAGCTTCCACCTGAATCATTCCACGCTCCACTCCCCCGCGCCCCACCCCCACCCCAATCTCTCCCCTGTTGCCCTTGACGGACTGCTGGGGGTAACTAGCTCACAAATGGTCCTTTCTGCCCTCCTCCAGGAAAGGATCTTGCCTTCGTTTCGTGATTCCACCCCCTTCCTTCCCCCCCAAACCCGGCCACAACCCCAACCCTTCCACAAAATAACCCTAAACTCATCAATTGAGAATCGGCAGATGTAAATTTGGACGCTAGGCTCGTGAACTATCTGTGCGCTGGCTACACCGGGTCGCTGGGGCTACTTGTGTTATTTTAATTTCGCAGCATTCCGCAGCCCGAAACTACAGCCGGTTAAGTTTTTAATCTGTGAAATACCAAATGCACGTTCTATTGAGAGGGAGAACATACCGCACACCGTTTGCGAGGTGCCCGCACTGCCTACCTGTAATAGTCTTCTTGGCCGGGAAGAGGGCCTCCGTGCATGTGATGGTGTCCGTGCAGCCACTGTTGTTCCATGGCCAATCTCTGTAGCTCTGCAGACTGGGCGTGCATTGCCTGCAGCTGGTGGGCGGCTGACATGGGAGCGTGGATGGCGCCTGGCAGGTCTCGGTACGGTGTCCCTGCGAAGAGACGCGTAAGAGGTCACGCCCGGTGGGGGGGGGGGGGGGGGTCATTCTCGGAGCTTGTTAAAAACAAAAAAAATGCCCCGTAGAAAAACGACACTCGTTATCAAACACGTTGTCCTGAAAGGAAAGTGCGTTCCCTACTGTCCTGGCTGCTCGTTTCGCTCAGCAAACACCTGCCTGCTTCACGTCCCCACCATCGGTAAGCAGGCGGGCTTTCTGCCATTCTGACCCCGTTCTCTGGAATTCCATCCCGAAACCCCTCCGAACCGCAACATACTAAGAATGCAACAACAACAACAGATTGCATTTATATAGCGCCTTTCACCTCGGGATGGACTGCTATCATGAAAAAAAGGCAGCAACAGCGGATTTGTCTCTTACCGAAGACCGGATGCCTGAGCATTTCGTGTTCGTGGGGACCCTGGGTCAACAGTGGGTTGGGTATTGCACCTGGTGGGTAGGGGAAGCGAGCCAAATGAGGCCCGGCCGCCAAGGGATCCACGAGGGGATGCACACCTCCTGTACCTGGTTTGCAAAGAGAAAAAAAAAAAATTCCATCAGAAACCGCAGGACCAGAAATTATAATAATAATAATAATCCTCGCATCTGATACGGCGCCTTCGAGACGTCTCGAGGAGACACTGTCAAGTGGAGCGACTGTACGTTTTGCGGGTGAAACGCGGCAGCCAATTGCGCACAGAGGCGTCCCCCCCCACACAAGAACAGCGGTGGGTTGAGGGAGCAAATTTATATATTTGTGCGTTTTGAAGGGACTGTTACCCCTGGAAAAGCGAACCGCCAATCGACCAACAACTGATAAGGTGACTGCGGGCAGGGAGAGGGGCTACTGTGCAATGCATCAAATAGCAAGGCAAGCACCTTCAAAGTATTCCCCCCACTCCCCCCCAAAATAAAATGAAACCGTGAGAATGGATGCTTCAGTGTTTACAAACATCAAAGATCAAGACGACGGGAACATTCTCAAAGAGTCACGCAATTTCGGCGTGATAAAGGCATTTCGCTCAGCCCTCTTATCGCACCGGTTGTGGAGGCAAATGAAATTCTTCGCATCTACCCAAATCGACGCGGAATATTTTGAAAAGTCCAGAAAATCATTTAGATCTGGACCCGTGATCTACCATCCGATTTCACGTTAGCCGTTTGATATTCCATCGCTGGCTCCACACGGCGGACAAATGCATCCACAAACAGAAAGGAGCAGCTTAGCAAAAAAGACTAATAATCGAAGCAGGATTTTTTTTGTGCACACGCAAATGGCATCTGTGATGCAACAATGTCCATTGGAACAAACCCGCCTTATTGAATGTGGTTTACTTGCATAAACTGATTGTCATCAAGATGCGGAAACTCAACGCTCCCTCGCCCCAGATTGATTCTCGACTGATTACTTGGCTGATGTTTTGCTCTTTTTTTCCCACTAATTAAATTTCTTAAATCTTGTGCAGGATGTACGAGACAATAGAACGCACCCTCCCCATGTGTAAGGCCTCATGAAACCCGGTGAAATTGGGATTTAAAATAAATAAAGCCTTGCTTGCTAACTCGGGGCTGCAGTGTGCTGTAATATGCATACAGCAAAGTGTAGATGAGACGTTACCTAGGCAGCACATCAATAATACTACTACTAATAATAATCCTTGCATTTCATATAGTGCCTTGTCACGTCTTCAAGACGTCTCTAAGCGCTTCACAGAATATACTGGAAAGTGAAGTGACTGTATATTTTGTGGGCGAAACGCAAGGTGCTTAGTATATATGATGCAGATACGGACATCACAAGGACTTACTTTAGGCTGAGATCAGCACTTTAATAACGCCAGACATTACTGTATTAGCAAAGCTCACTGTAATGGCATAGCACTTAGCTGAACATGGTAATTCAAATTAAGTAGGGAAGGAAACTTAAATGGGGATCTCAGACTAATAAAGCAGAAAAAAAGGGAGTAAATGGCAAACTTCAGATTTTGCATTCAATTCCGGCAATCCACATAATTGTCCACAACTGGGCCCTGGGAAGTTATTGAGCGGAGGGTTTTGAGACCGCTTTAAGAAAAATTGCGTTTAATTAGTTTCTTAAAAAGGGTAAAAAAAAAATGAAAGAATGATCATTTCACAAACCATTCTTAGATCAGAGGGATTAGTTTACAAGAATGTAAATGGGAATTATGAAATGATGTGCAATTCCTACTATTATTTGACATTATGATACGCCATAAGGACACCTTCATGCTGTGTCCCTCACAAAATGGACAGATAGTTTCTGCTCCTTTTCATTAAGATCTCAACAATCGGGGTAAAATTTACCTAATCTATCCTGGCTCAAACCCAACCTAATCTTTAAACTAAACCTAGTCCAAATAGTCGGCCAATGAACTGCACATCCTCATCGATTTGCTGCTCATTCCGATTTCCCTGACGGTGATAGCTGAGACAGACTGCAATAGTTTGAGTGTTCTGTGATTTTCTCCACGCTTGTGCCAAACAAAAGCCTCACCTACAGCCACAGTTCAGCGAGAGAGAGAGAGAATAGAGTGGGTTTAAGACCAGCTAAGGACATTCAGGTGGGCAATATGACAGCACTCTGGTCTTTGCGTATTGGTTGTTTGGTTCAAGCCCCCACATGGAAAGAATTCAGTTCATAACCTCGGCTGATAAGTCATTGGATATCATGTCTGCCTGATCCTCATGTTGACGAGCACAGATATCAACCCTCTCCCATAGAGACCAGTGGGCAGAATAGCTTCCTCTTTGGAATCATATTAACTCAGAAGAAAAAAGGGTTTACGTACATAAAAAAAACATTTCCACTGGAACAAGAAGAATTACAGAGAGCCAGCTTGGGAAAGGATATGTGGATATTAGCAAATATTATGCAGCAATATTGAGTTATAAGAGAATTAATTGCCTGTCTTGAATTCTCATGACTCTTCCTAGAGGATGCAACAACTGAATGAATCCCTCCCCTGTTCGAATCTTAAAAGGAAAAAAGAAAGAAGGCGGGGGGGGGAAGATTCAAAGTACTCTAATAAATTGCTGAATGGATGTATATGGAACCTATAAAACAGTTCCTATGTTCTCATAACGCTCTATCCAGTTTGAACGCTGCATACTGACAATTTAGACGGCGAGAGGAAAAATCTGATTCTATAATGGTACACAAAGGCACTTATCTCAGTGTTGAATATGCCTTCTCGAGATTTCCTCCCACGCTCCACATCTGTTAAGCTAAGCAGTTTCTGCTAAGTGGGAGTTGCGAAATGCACCATCGACACAGAATGAAGTGCCTGTGACTCCAGTTATGTAATTTTGTTAATCAATTAATCATCCCCAATTTTGTTTGAGAAAGAAAACTTAACGGCACTTAATTTTTTTCTTTGAAATAAAGTTCCGTGGGAGAGGATTTTTTTTTTAACCCCGCAAACTGGCGATTTCATCAACAAACAACTTGCACTTATACAGCGCCCCCCCCCCCGGGCAGTGTAGCGCCTCAGAGCGCTTAAAGTGGCGGAGCCTGACTCCGAGCCGGTGGGGAGTGGGGGGGAGGGAAGGTGGCTGTAAGCACGGTCGAAAAGGAAAGGTTTCAGGCGGGGCTTCAAATATTTAATCTATATTGAGAAGACAGTAATCTGAAGATAATGATAATAATCCTTGCATTTGATGTGGCGCCTTATCACATCTTCAAAACGTCTCAAAGCACTTCACAGAATACACTGTGAAGTGCGTTGACTGTAAATTTTGGTGTTCAGAACCGAACAGGTTTTTAACGATGCAATCACCAGGCTTCGAGCTCAATAGCTGCCGCATCAGCCTGTTGGGATGGTTTTAGAATCATAGACTATTACAGCACAGGAGGAGGCCATTCGGACCACGGGTACCCGTGCCGGCTCTTTGGAAGAGCTACCCAATCAGTCCCACTCCCCGACTCGTTCCCCATATCCTTGCAAATGTTTCCTGTCCAAGTACCTATCTAATTCCCTTTTGAAAGTTGTTATTGAATATGTTTCCACCGCCACGCTTTTCCTCAGTCAATTCAGTGTCTCGGCAGATTAGCCACAGTGCCGCAGGGGTTAACTTAAATGCGTTGAAGTGTTTAATCCGCTGCTAACTGGAGTTGCCAAGGAAACAAAATACGCAAGTCCCGGGCATCTCATTTTTTCCCCCCCGAGGTCAGGAAACTTATTCCACGGGTCATCAGTGATACTCTCATTCCTCCGACGTGAAAATGCTCTGCACTGAAAACACATCGGAGCATTCCCAGCCAGCGTTTGCGGAAAATGATTAACCCTGCAAGCGGCGAGTAGGTTTCTTCTCCTACCCTCCGCCCCCCACCCACTTCTCCATCCCAAATGTCTCGCTCAACTCGACTCGTGGCGAGCAAAGATTCTTCATCATAAACGGCAATTTGCGCTGTTTTTGTTTCCTAAACCACTGGGACGTGGGCCATTTTTAATCAAGAGAAATAAAAGGAAAGGTGACCTGGTTTAGACAGCACACACATCGCTTAGGGAGGATTAAACCGCAGTTAATGACTGCCTCGCTCATTGGTTTTGGCGGCTTGCGTCACCACAAATGGTGCCAACTCAGTATCGCAAAGGGCATCGTCCTCAATTGTTCCTTAAAAAAAGGGGAACAGGTACTTGCCTGTCCATAGCACACAATGTTTATCAGAGTAAGTCAACCTGGCCCTATTACTCACTATCGATTAGCCTCTGATAAGAATAACAACAACAGTAATCCTTGCATTTGCTATAGCGCCTTATCATGTCCTCGAGACGCATCAAACCGCTCCACGGGGGGGTATATTCTAAAGTGAATTGACTGTATATGTTGCGAGCGGAAGGATTCTGCTGATGTTACCGCTTTCTTCCACCACTGGCGGCAAAATCTCAAGAGAACAACACTCCCTTGCCTGCGCGTGCCTTGCGACTGTTGGGTCTTTTACAACTGGTAAAAAAGAAGTAGTCGTGACAAGGATGTTGGTAAATCCAGACCCTCACATTTTGTAACACCGAATTTAAGAAGCAGGACATTTGGAGGGCACCCGGCATTACCCAGGGAGTCGGAATCGGGACAGTTGTGGTTCCCAGAGTGTTACGTGGGTATAAACTATAGGAGTTTTGGCCGCATTACTATGAGAAGGACTGCTGTCTGTTGAACGTTAACAGGATATTGTCTTGGCTGGTGCTTAATGGATGGAGGTCAGATGAACTCACCTTGGTGTAGTGGATCTTGCTGATGTAGGTGTAAGTGAGAATGTATGTGTGAATGCTGGTGGTGATGGGGGGTTACGTTGAACATCTGCAGCCGGGCGAGGGGGTCGTTGGCCAGCGATGCCATGCGCTCTGCGTGTATCCTCTCAGCTGCCAGTCTATCAGCGTAAGACATTTCAGGCCGCAACTGGGGCCCGGCCAGCGCGAGTCTCTCTCGTTCGAGCGGGTTCAGTCCGGGGTGGAACGGTGGGAAGGGGTGAGCTCCTGCTTGGGGCTGGATTGTCAATGTGCCGTGCCGTCCAAACGGATCCATGGGGTTAGCCGCCGGGTGCAGGCCGTCCAGTTCGGGCGGCTTGACCTCGAAGCCGGGCTTCATCCTTTCACGGAACTCCCTCTCGCGAATCTCCCGCTCGCGGATCTCCCTCTCGCGCAGCTCCCGTTCCCTCATGGCTGGGTCGGCGCTGTACAAGCTCGGCATGTGGTAGGCCAGGATGGGGTCGGAGGCGTTCAGTGGGACGAAAAAGGGGTGGTTCCGGTTCGTGGGCGACATGACGTGGGGCCTCGCGTACTCGCTGAGTGTCCGCAAAGCCGGGGTGTCCGGTCCGATGTAGGGAGGGACGGCCGCGATGGTGGTGGGCGGGGGCTCGAACGAAGGTCTCATGTGGGCCGACCCGACGAGCTGAGCTTCGGTCAGGCGGGCCTCGTGGGAAGAGCTTGACGCTTTCTGCCGAGAGAGAAAGGAAAAAAATGGAACAGGTTGGAACATTTTAAGAGGGGAGGCGAGGAGAAATGCCTTCGCACAGCGGCGAGCTGTCGGGAAAGGCTGGTGGAAGCTGATTCCGTAACAACTCTCAAGAGAGACGTAGATAAGGTATTTGGGGAGGACACGTTTGCAGGGCTACAGGCGAGTGAGGGGGAGTGGGATCAATTCACACCGCTCTTTACTTTTAGACACAATGGGCCGAACGGCCTCCTTCTGTGCTGTGTAATTCTACGATCTGATGAACATTGCAGGTAAATCGCACAAGGGTGCAAAAAGATTCGGGGCTCCGGTTGTTTGATTCGCAATGAATCACTAGAGATCTCCTTCCTCTGAAAAGTCTCCAGGGTTAGCTAAAAGCAGTACAGAATTTGCTGACTGCACTCGCACAGAACACGAGCGAGCCAGAGTGAGTGCCCGTTTAGGGAAGCCTCCATATTTTATAATAATAATAATAATCCTTGCATTTGATACAGCTTCGAGGCGTCTCAAAGCGCTTCACAGAATGGGCTGTAAAGCGAATTGACTGTATATTTGTGGGCGAAACGCGGCAGCCAATTGCGCACAGTAGAGTCCCCACAAACAGTCGAGGATTGAAGTGACCAATCCACGATTGTTTTTTTTAAAAGGACTATTATCAGGCGTGAGTGTGGAGTAAGGAAACTTGCCCAAGGTTTCGCCCCCTGCTGGGAATCGAACCCAGGTCTCTTGCTTGTGAGGCGAGGGCTCTAACCACGGAGATACAGGACTCCTGAGTGCGTGCCTCCTGCCTGAAATTCGACTGACGCAACTTGTATCGTAGGGTTCGCTGAAAAGAGTAGCATCCAATATCAAGGGATGACCACGTTGCGCTAGTAGGTTAATAATACCCACTGTAGAAATAAACTGCGGACACAATGGGGTTGCATTAATATTTCAGAGAGAGTTATAAATTCTGCCGAGAGAATTATTTCAACGTCTCCCTGCACGGAAACTCACCGCGGCCCTCTCAGCCTCCCTCTCCCGTTCCCGTTCTCTCTCCCTCTCTTTTTCCTTTTCCTTCTCTTTCTCCTTCTCCTCTCTTGCTTTCTGCTCAGCTTCTCGCCTGGCCTTTTCCACTGCTTCCTCTCGTTTCTTGGCCAGCTTGGAGCCTTGCAGCGGTACAAAGTACAAGTCTGTCCTCGCGCAGGAATTGTAGCCACGGTCCAAATGTTTGATGAACCTAAAAACAGATCAAAGCAAAAACAAAAAAATTCAAATGAGGCACATAGGTAATAATAATAATAATACTTGCAATTTGTATAGCGCCCTATCACGTCTTCAAGACGTCCCAAAGAGCTTCACAGGATATACTGTAAAGAGTAGTGACTGTATATTTTGTGGGCGAAATGCGCCAGCCACAAACAGGATAGACACGATAGGATAAATAGGATAGTAGGTAAATAGGTAGGTAGGGAGGGAGGGAGGTAAAGGAGAAGGACATATCTATGTCTTTATTTAATCTCCACCGCTACCAGTATAACTGAACGGTAAAAGAATCCTTGCCATACCTGGCTGACTGACTGGCGTGGCTTGGTGTGCTAACAACCGTCGGTTCTGGAGACGGGCTCCTGTTGGGAGGTGGCGGGGGGCTGTCGGGCTCCTCCGGCTCCTCTTGGATCTCCTCTTTAATCTGAATGTTCGCCAACGGGGCGGAGACCGCGCAGGCCGAGCTCCCAGCGGACGCCACAGAGGCCACAGCGGCCGGGGTGGGTTGAATGGTGGGCACGGAGGCCACGCTCGACGTGGCTGGAGCAGGTGCCGCTGGAGATGCCATCGCAGGAGGCCCCGTGGGGATGAACGAGTGCGAGGGATACGGGGGCTGGGAGGGGACCTGGTGGGATGGCGCCGGGGGGTGCGCAGCCGTGGCTGGGAGGCTCTGAGCTTGGGTGAGGATCGGGGGCTGGGCAGGAGGAGGCTGGATCTGTTGAGTTTGAGGCATGAGCTGCAGCGGGGGCGGGTGCACGGAGGGAGGGTGGTGCGTCGAGAGGGAGCTGAGGGGCTTGAGAGCCGGAGGGGGCGGCAGGTTCGAAGGCATCTGCGGGAACGGCGGGAGTCCAGAGTGGTGAGGCGGGGCCTTGTGCGACTGCGGGTTGGAGATGGGGGTGATGGGAGTGGTGGGGGGCGGCTTGATGTGGGGCATCGCCCCGGGGGCCGGCGGCAAAGGCTGCTCCCGGGGGGGCTGGGCCTGTTGCTGCGTTTGCGGGGGCGGCAGGAGCTGCGGCTGCGTTGGGGCGGGAGCGTGTGGCTGGGGGTGGGCGGAAGCCGCCTGGGCTGACGCCTGTGAGGCCTGAACGGCAAGGGAGAAAGGCGGGCCCTGCATCGGAAGCTGTATGTGAGGCTGAGCTTGCAGTGAGTGCTGCGGCAAAGGCTGGACCTGGGCGTGGAGGGGAGGCTGGGATTGGGGCAGCGGCTGCGACTGGGTTTGCAGCAGTTGCTGCACGGGAGGGTGCGGGGACGGGAGCCTCTGGGGGTGCACTTGTGGGGCGGGCAGGATCAGGGAGTGGATCGGTGTCTGGCTCAGGGGCTGGGAGACTGGGGAGAGCTGCTGAGCGAGCGAGGCAGCTGAGCAGGCCACCGGAGGCGGCATCTGCGGCGATTCCAATGGCGGCAGCCCGGCGCACGGCGCCTGATGCACCGGGGGCTGCGACTGCAAGACTTGCTGCTGGGCGGAGGAGTCGGAGTCGCTCTCGTTGTCCCTCGGGCTGGGGATACTGGGCGACGTGCTGCGGTTGTCCTGGTCGATGTCCTTGGGATCGCTGCTCCCTTCATCGTTGACACTGCGGCTATCGGAGCTCTCGCCTTCCGACGGGGAATTTGGCCTGCTGATCTCCTGGGGTAAATCGGAAAAAAGGAATTGAAAGAAAGAAAGGAGAAGAAGAAAAAAAACGGTCACAGAGCGAGAGCCTGTTAACGAGCACGCGATCCTTCTCGGTCGTTTCGCACGGAACGGGTTGAGAAAGTTGCGCAAGGGGCAAAAAGATGTCGCCATCCGATAGTCGCAAGTGCCCAAAAGTTGCAACGGGTCCAGTTTGCCAATTGTTGCTCGATTGGAGGTTCAGAAAGCAAAAAATAAATAAATGAATTGATTTTGATGAAGCTGTGCGTCAAGATACAATATTGTTGCTTGCATTTTTACGCGGCGACTTCTAACGTTGCTGAGAATGTTTCAAAGCGCTTCACTGAGTCCACTGTACAGTGGATTGACTGCATATTTTATGGGTGAAACGTCTTATCTCAAAAGTGCTTTGTGGTAATAATTGTCAAGAACAGGTACCGGTGGGGCTTTAGTTCAATGTCTCACACCTCTGACCCGACACAGAGAGACTTGAGCTCGCAACTTTCTGACCCAGGGGCAAATGCTACCAAGATGACACCCAAGAACACGCAAGAGCAAAACGATAACAGATTTGTCAAACTGGAGCTGTAAGGGCAATAATAATAATAATAATAATGATATTAAAGCTTTAAATGCGACAGTAAAATATTAGAAGTCAAGAATCCAGGTCTTTCACGTCGAATATGATTGATTTTTTCCACCAAAGCAATTCTGAAATGACAATTAATAAGGAACATTTCAATTTGCCACTAACAATGAGCGCTAAAGCCAATGGGCCGAGTCTCGTGTGGAAGATATATATTCATCTAAATTACAGGACAAGCCGTAACAATGGGGGAAGCCAGCCGTAATTATATTGATATGTAAATTTTTAAGCCGGCTTCAAATGCAGCCAAAAATTTGAACTAAAAAGGGTTGCGTTTGAGGCAGTGAATTTGACTTCTCAACACTTATCGCACAACAGCGATGCTTTAATCAGTTTGTCACCTCTGACACAAAAATTGGGAGCTTGGAATAGATGCTGGGTTTCAGCAATGTAAATTTAGCTCATAGGAAACGGGCTGTTTTTGACCTGTAAATACAAGGCCTGCCCAGTCTCATCTCCGTTCAACAACTCTTTCTGTAAACAGAATACGCAAACGAACCACAACAGCTAAAGGTCAGTTTCTTCAATATCATCCCTTTGTTAAAGGACTTGAGACATTCTTGCTTGCAAACAGCAATATGTTAATGCGAGTTGTTTTTCTACAAACGCTCTCTTAAGAGCAGATGGCAGCTCAGAAAGTCCAGTCCCTCCACTCAGATCTGTTCCTGATCCCTAGTGGGGCTAGATAAGGAGGATCCTGGACACACAACCTGGGAAATGGGTGGGTGGGTCAAGCTCTCACACACCCCTCGTGTTGGCCAAGTCGCAGCACTGGTTGGGAATCTACAAGGCTGCCCACTCATTTGGCAGTGAAAAAATAAACAACAATCCTTGCATTTGACTTCAAAGTCCAATCACCGTCAGTCTCACTGGACCAATTGCCCAATGTCTTGGGCAGCAGTGTGTAAAGGAGCACATCAAAATGCCCCCTCGTACGTGCTAATGTAGAAACCAATGCCTGGGAACCGAGTAAAAGGCTGGGAGCCAAGTCTCCTTATATTCAGGTATTCCTGTCAGTCTCCACAGTAGTTATGTAACAGCGATATTTACCTAGCGCCATTTACCGTGCGCTCAAGGTGTTTGGCGAGTCCAAATCCTTCACTTAACAAGCACGAACTGTGTACCTTTCTTCCTTCATACCTGTGTTTTGGATTTCTTTGCAATCAATCTCTCCGGCTCTTCAGTGTCAGAGGCAGTCTTCTCTCTTTGGCGTTTGGCATTCTTCGATGGGGACGATATGTCATCCTTGGACCTCTGCCGGGGAAAAGAAGTGAGACCGACATCAGCTCGGTCAAGGAAGTAAACCGACTGGTGAAAAGGCCGAACTTATCCTTCGACAGAACTTTATTTAAAGCAGTGCTTTACTGCGGCAGCAAATAGGGATCTGTACAACTGTACAGAGCCATTGATCGACGTGTTAGACAGCACCAGGTCTTGCTCTAACACTCTGGAAGTCAGCAAGCAATTTTCTGCCACAATATTTCGCTTATACTCAATGCTTTTAGGGAGGGATGGTGATGGAGAGCAAGTTTAGATCGTCACCAAGCAAGTGCCAGACACAGGAATCCCAAGCCACTACAGCATCCGTTGTGGAAAGAGCGCAAATACCCTTAGCCACGTGTTAATTAGAAATCCAAGCTCCCCCCCCCATCCCCCCAAAAAAACAGACCAATATGTCTTGGTGTAGTAGAAACGCTTAACGGTCAGATTTCAGTTAGATTCAGATGCCAATCATTTCAAGGCGTTCAGTAGTTCTTATTCAGTTTATAGAGATTGTCAAGAGTGCCACAGCACGGAAACAGGCCATTTGGTCCTTTGAGCCTGCACCGTTTTTTTTTCCACGTAAGCCACATCATCTGATGGATGCCACGATCCTGCTGGTTCCCCATAATCTATTTTCAAGTGTACTTAAAAGAATTTAGGGATCTGTTTCAGCCGCAATTTGCAGCAGAGAATTCCATATTCCGATCGCCCTCTATGTAGGGATTCTTCTCGCCGCCTCCTTAGTTCTTTGCTATTAACTCAAACCTATACCCCTTTGTGACTCACCCATCGACAAATGGAAATAATACCTTACTTACTTTATCATAAAAGCATCGCACAAATATGAATTCCAGGCACTTTTAGACAGCAGAGAACAACAATATACACAGTCGCAACAGAAAACAGAGACTTATATGAAATGCAGTTATATCGTGTGCCATTAACAGACACTTAAGTGACAGTCCATAACATTTACTTACCGTGTGAAGTGCACACTCATGTTTTCCTCCTTTTGTTTTGAAAAGTTGGGGTTTTTTTGTTTTAGAAAAGAAAATATATAAAAGGCTGCCTAATTATAAGATTATTACAAAATCTGTTTTCTACCACCTTCTGAGGATGCACAATTTTGTGCTCCTGCTACAGCCAGTCTCTCCCCTCGCTAAGACAGGTTCCCTTCTCTCAGGAGGTTCGACAAATGTAGCGAGTTAATTAGGACTAGAAAATAACCGTTATCAGCACATTACCTTGCTGGGTTTTTTCATAGATTCTGCTTTGCTATCATTACTGGATGTGCTGGCAGCACTGGGAGAGTTACGCCCACTGGACCTGATGTCTTCATTGATAGGTGAGGTTCTACCGTCAGGACTGGCTGTCAGCTTTTTACGACCACTACGCAGTGAAGACATCTAATCGACAATATAAAATTATTATTATCATTATTAGAGCTATACGGAGACGGGCGGGCGGTTTAACAACAACCCATAAGCAAGCTTATAGCAGCGGCAGTCGCCAATTCAAAAAACGTGCCAGCTCACTCCTGCAATGTAGTGGTGACTTAAACATTTATTTTAATGCAAAATTTACGGGCTATGTTTAAGCGTAGAGGTCTCCTGTCTGCGTGCTTAACTGATTTACGTGAACTATACTGTTTTATAAAAGCAATTAGTTATGTGACCCTTAGTTGCCAGAGTTCTGAACACGTGTCTAGAACCTGCCTTAGCCTTCAGCTATCATCACTCAACTCGGTTTAACCCAGGCTCTACTCTCACTGCTGCGTTTTTTTTTGAAAAACAAGATCGAGCTTCGTATTGAGGTCATTGCCTGCTATGGATTAGAGCTGTAAGCATTTGGAAATCCAGCCTCAGTGATCTCGTGGAAAGGCAGGAGTTCCTCACAATTTCCATGTTTCATTAGCTCCAACTGGGACAGTGAGAGCTAATGTCCAGCTGCAAAAAAAAAGCGTGTTGGGGAACTTTTTATACCTCCCATCGTCGGGAACTTCTGTCTCAAAATAATTCGGAGCACGGCAATATCTAATGGCTGCCGCTGAATTCATCTGACGAGGGGAAAAAAACAAAGTAAGCTGAAATATAGGTCAATGGCAAGCAAAGCACTCAGTGGTTATTGGGTGTTGGATCCTGTGCTGTGGCACCTACGATTATTAATTCGACAGCTCCTAAAACACACTTGGGGAGAACGGCACAAAACTAGTAATCGTGTTCACAGCACATTGATTTTTTTTCTCTCTGCAGAAGGTCTGCACATTATTGGAGACAGACGAAGGAAAGATAGAACAACAAAGACATTCATACCAAGCCTCGACTTCTTCTGGTCCTCATGCTATGTTTCCCACTCAGACCATCTTCTTCCTCCTTGACTGGTTTAAACATAAATGGTGGCGGGTCCACTGGCTTCTCGATCGGCGGCAATTCCGCGTACTTCTTGAAGTGAATGCGACACTCTGTACACAGCAGTATGTTGTCTCTCCCTCCGTGGTGCCAATCTTTGGAGGCTGTTTTTTTTTCCGATAAAAACTCATTTTACACAAGGATTTGCAGGAAGGACGCCTCGACAGTAAGAACGTAAAAAAAAACACACAGAGGAAAAACAACAGATGACACATGCACCAGCAAGGTCATTTTATACATATAATTACAATGCTGAGTTCAATAACATTAATATAATAATAATCCTGGCATTTGATGCAGCGCCTGATCACATCTTCGAGACGTCTCAAAGCGCTTCACGGGATACACTGTCAAGTGAATTGACTGTGTGTTTCGTGGGCAAAAACCAATCGCGCACAGCGACGTCCCCGCAAACAATCGTGGATTGAGTGACAGAAATTTTGTGCCGTTAATGGTAGTATAAAAGAAAAATCCCACGTACTAGTTGTGAAACAATGACGACAGGCGTAACCCTTCAACTCCTGCTCGCTGTCCTCGCTGTCAAAGTCATCCTCGCTGGCAGAGCTCAGATCCACTAAGGGGAGAAATCAATGAAGCAGAAATAAGCACACGATCGAATGTAGTGGAGGATAGATTTTTTTCACCCTGTGGAGGATCAGTTTACACTCGGAAGAGAGCTGCAGAGACGAGGAACCGTGACTTTGAAAAACGTTAGAAAAATTGCAAATTATAGCTAAGCTATATGGGCGCACCAAAAGCATTTTAAGATGACGCTAAACTGATACATCTGGTTAATTTATTTGTTTGATGTGCATTATTTTACATGCACCGTTTTACTATGAGGAATAAAGGAGTGTGCAACTTGGCATTAAAAATTCTGTTTGAGTTTCTCCACAAAATCAATAGCACTTTGCTCCTTTATCGCTGATAAATCTTTCTACCTGTTACATAAAAACCTACCATTTTTATGGTACGTTGACAGTGCCGACAACCTTATTAATCGGTTTAGCACAACCAGGGCTTTAGAAAGAAAAGAACCTGCATTTTTATAGCACTTTATACGTCAAAACGTCGCCAAGAGATTCGCAGTAATTGCTTGCAGGTCTGGTGACTTTTTTTTCATAGGCAGCGGAGTGTTGGTCAGAACATGAGGACCCACTTCCTTCTCTTTCCAGACAGCATCACAGAATTTTTTTTTAATGAACCGGCAGATGGGACCTCAGTTTAGTGTCTCGCCTGAAGGACGGCACCTCTGATAACACAGTGAGATCCCCTAACACTGATGGCAGTCGAGGCTGACGCTATCAACCCAGACTGTGACTGAGCTGGGAGAAGTGCTGAACAGTTGGTCTTGTGAGTTGAAGTCCAACAAACTTCCAAGTCAAAATCCTGAGCACTCCCAACAAAGCCAAGCTTTATATTCAATCGGTACCTCGTGCACGCTATTGAAGACACATTCTTTGGTTTTAGTATATTACTATGAGCCAGTGTGTGAGCTTGGTGTTTGAAACGATTTGTCAAGTCGCAGCATCTCTTCAGATCGGTTCAAGCTGCCACGCCGTTAACTTGTCACAGAGTCAATGAAATTTACAGTCCCCCTGGCGGACTGGCACTTTTCAAAATACAAACGAACACGGCAGCGTATCTGCCCCGCCCCCCCACCGCTTCGTGTCCTCGCCCGGCTCGCGATTTCCGCACCCGCAATTCGCACCGCTCCCATGACGAACGGGGGCTTGAGAAAGTTCCAATACCGCAGCTGTCGAGGCCCGTGTCCGATACCCTTACCCCAGGCCCAACCTGCGGTGGATTTGGGAAGCAACGCAGTAGCAGTTTCACGACTGGCCTCGGCTACGATTTTCGTCAAGCCCTGGACGTTGCCGCAGCTCAATCGCTCTTGAGGAGAGGCGACAGCTCGAACGCTCACTTTCCAGCCCCGCGTGGGCGGCCTTTGGAGACCTGTGCGCGCCCGCCATTGCGTGAGCAGCTCGATTACTGTCAGAGAAAGGGCAACCAGGGCCCCGGCATGGTATAACCCACGTGCCACAGCTCAACCTTAAAGAACACCGTTCGTATTGTAATGAGGGTTCACTTTGTAGCTCGATTTGGGGCCACGCCGACCCCAATGTTTACGAACCCCCAAAGAGCGACCTAAAATGCGGGCGCTGACTCCAAGAGCCACTTCGAAACACCGGCTGGTGTACGGGAAGGTCAGACTGGCCGACTTCCGGGTCACCTGCACAGGTTTAGGACGCAGGACCCAATGACCAGCTGGACCCCGGCCATTTTGGCTTCCGGCGGGTTGACAAGTGGGGCCCTGCTTCCTGCCAGTCGGGGGGCGGCGGGGGGGGGGTGGGGGGGGGTGTTATGGACGACATGATTTGATCGGCATCCGACCTCAATGTGCTCGCTCTCTCTCTCTCCCTCTCTTCCGCCCCCACCCTCCCCGCTCGGATCAATAACCAAACTGGATCGGAACTCACAGAATTCACCAGACGGCGGTCGAGAAGGATTCACTGGTGTTGTTGCTGTGCGAGTTTTGATCCTCCTGAACACAGCCTGTCTGCGGTGTCTGCGATGTGCTCGGGAACTGGCAGCTTCCGGAGTTTTCTTCCAGTAGTAATAAAATGTCACCAGCTCCCCCTGGAACACAGCAAAATGGTTGTCAGCGAAGGAGCATCACACAACCCTGAACCTGGAGCCACTCGACAGGCTCGAAATGTGGATATCAATGGACGCGGAGGGCGGGTGTAGATTCCTTTGACGTACTGGCACAGACGCAAGTTGTTTTGCGAGGAACACACTCAAGCTCAACTCATTACCCCGCACCACCCACGTAACCAGACATTCTCCTTCTTGAAGGGCGATATACAGATAATAATGCGCCCCACTCTCCCTCCCCCGCCTCAATTTGTGAAGTGCGTTGTGTAAATTATAATAATAAATAATCCTTGTGTTTGATATAGCGCTGTTCACGTCTTCTAGACGGTGACCCGAATTGCAAGTTGAAAATAAATGATTTGAAAGGGGAAATCGGATAAGTGCTGGAAAAAGTGGAACATTAAAGGGAATGGGGAGAGCGTGACTAGACTCGCTGGCTCACATGGGAGTAAAACACCAGCGCAGTCTTGGGGAGTCGAACGGCTAGTTTCTGTGTGCCGTAACAGTCTAGGATTCTAGATGCCAAATGGCCGTTCTTTACGTGAGCCTCGAGCCTTGACAGGGAGCGGCAGCTGGGGTTTGGGATGATATAGAGCCTGAGTTAGACACTGACACAAGCGAATCTCCAGCAGAGGTCAGTGGAGAGTGATCAGGGGTGGGTACTTGGGATAATTCCTCTCTCTCTCTCCCCCCCCACCCACCACCCCTCCACCAGCTGTCTCTGCGCAAACCAGCAACACAATTATTTTTGGGCTCAAATCCATCCTTCTGGTAGTTCTCAATCTCAGTTTCTCACCACGTCCCTCAATCTCGCATTTCCCAGAAACCGGTCTCATTGCCTCAAGGATAAAAACAACCTGTGCTTTAATTTCCTCTGACGCTACGGGGTCAGTGAAACGCGAACTCCAGGAAGCAGCACGTAATTCGCGAGCGATTGTTTCATTTAACAAAGAGTATTGTGCAAAGGTTTGCAAAGAATGTACGGCCAGCACGGTAATAGGCCATCGGGCCGGCCAGTCCATGCGAGCATTATACTCCAACCAAAAGAAGTCCCCACCCATTCCTTTACTCCCCACCCCAAACTCTTTTATTCCCCTCTCCCTCATGTGATGGTCTAGTTTCCTGTTAAAACCATCAAACTTCCTCTTGAATACATGGACTGTTAATCCTTACCGTTTCCTGGTTACATATTTGCCTTCAGGGGTTGGGGAGGGGAGGCTGACAGAGGAACAAATTTGTTTTCCTAAGCCCCACCACACGATCCTGGCTGTGTTTCCAAAAGTATAAAGATCAAACGGTACTGACATTTAATAGTGAAAAATAAATTAAGAACGACATCCCCCCCCCACCCTCCATCTCCCCAAATAACGATATTTTAAGTTTGTCATATAAATATTTGGATGAGGCAAAAAATACAGTGAAAAGATGCCCATCGAGTCAATGCCCTGCTTTCGATTTCGAGCCGGAGTTTGGTTAAAATCAGATTGGAGTGAGTATAAGTGAGACGGGACTTTCAGGCAAGCGAGTGTTAAAAAGATTTCGAAAACCCAGTCCAGACTTGGTAAGCAATCCTGCCTTCCACGGCTGTAATGGGATTTAAGGTTCCACGCGGGTTGAAGTGCAGTGAATCAGGCGGATTAGGAACTACACATTGGTAACTAGATGGGTGGTGATGGTTGTGCTTAAACAAAAGAACATGTCAGGCAAACTTCAAAGAGGAACAAATGGGAGCAGAACGGTTCCCAGTTTCGACACACACACACACACACACAAACTCAATTAGACATTAATCAAATGTCTACAAAGCCTGAGCCTACAGTGCATCAATTTACTGAACAAAGCCACTGTGGAAATCAATAGTCTGCAGAAACATCAACACAAGCAAATCATTGATCAAAAGGCCTTTCCTTTTTTTTTAAAAAAAGGCATCCCGGCAAATTAGCTGTCACTTTTCGAGCATACAAGCTAATAAGCATACATGCTATTGGCAAGGGCAGTGGGTAATGAGACCCTAGTTTCCGGTGCCTAACAGCGCAAGACACGTTCCCCCCCCCCACCCACCCCCCCACTCCGCTGCCATTTTTATCCCCGTTGCCGTGTGTGTTATGATTAAACTTCAATAAACGAGGTTTACCGAGAGCACAAAACGACGGTTAGGAATTTCGCAAGCAATAAATTGTTCAAAACATCTCGCATGAAAGCGTCTGCAGCTCGCAGCGCTTACAGCCCAACCTTTATCAGCTTCCTCCAACCTTAAACACAGAAGCAGCAGGTGTGTGTGAGTGTTGTTTGTGCGTGCGTGTATCCGGCTGGACTTGCCTTAGTTAAACAAAGCCCTAACATCTTCCAGGACTCCAGGTTGTTTAGAACCGGTTATGGCACAAGCAATGAATGATATTTACCTTGCAGCATTATAAGATAAACAAGGAAAAGGGAGTTTTGTCCCTAGTGGGGGCGGCGGGGGGAAACTCTACCATCAAGAGCTGTTTTTTTCCCAGACCTCTGGAGCAAGCGTTAGTGTTCTAGCGATGGAAATACGAATCTTCCCTGATTCCCGAGTGAGAGCTGTGCTTGCCAGCGCAGACACGAGAAGCCTCGTGCTTTTATTCACACTGGAGTTTGTCGAGATCGCGATGGGAAGTCTTGAGAAGCTGCGATCTCCTGAGCCAGCAGGAGGGACAGAGCCAACCGAGACCTCTGGAGACAGACACGGTTGCTCACCTACCTGCTTTGTACAACGTGGCTCAAATTGTCAACAAAGCCAGTGTGGTCCATTTTGCTTGGGAGCAAAATTGCTGTCAACTGGATGCAGAGCAAACATTTTTGATGTTATCTGGGGGGGAAAAAAAACTACTTCCAAAAGCTTGTTGGGCAATGTATTTGGCAAAAATAGCAGCTTCAGGGGAGGCAATTCTTTCAGAATATTTTAAACTCTCTGGTTCAGGAGGTCTCATGAATAGGGAGAAGATTTGAATCGAGAGTACAAGGATGGCTGACTTTGCAGTGCAATAAAAATAACTGATTGTCAACGGACTGAAACTTTGCCACTAAAATAGGAGACATTCTGACTCAGGCTGATTGACCTGATCCATCGGGACCGTTACTTGGCACATGGTATTTCCCTTTTAGCATCTTCCGATTATTTTTCATGCTGACATAAAATGCAAAATTGAACAAGTAAAAATGCACCAGAAGCTCTTGATCAAAGAAGTGCTCATTGACTCAGGACTGAAAATGTTCCAATTAGTAGAACCATTTGTTAGAACGCATTTTAATAAGATTAAACCAAACAAAATCTACTGCCCTTTGTTGATTTGGTGACCGCTCATTACTGTTGCAAAGCCGCCGAATTTGTGCAGCTCATCACGGAGAATACCAATTACAAGTCAGTAACTCGAAACAGGATTACTGGAGGATCAATAAGAAGGAAGACAGAAAACCTCATCAAACTTTGATTTTCCAAACATCTGAGACACCTCGCATTAGATTTAGATGAGTGATAAGGAGATATATTAGTTCCTTGTCACTCACTCAAAACTACATTAGTAAGGAACCCAAAAATAGACGCAACCACACAAACAGTCACTACACTTCACCATAATTTCCTGTGCAGCCCTTCGAAACCTTTCGACGCTACAAAACACAAAGTTTGTTCTTTTTTTTAAAAAAATCGCCCACCACGCCGATGGAGACTTTGAGATCCTCGAATTTGGTCGAACTGTGGACCCCGAGGTTTAAAAAGGTGCCTGAATGGTAAAAGTGCAACGTAAATGGCTCAAGTGTCAGGAAACATATCGCAGAACGTGAAGTACGTCTTGTACAATAATCGGCACACGTCAGTCACCCCCAACCTACAAGATCTGACCTCATTTGAGCTGCACTTTTCCTGTCCAAGCTCTTTTTCAACCCCGCTTGCCTCAATGCACAGGCTGAATTCTAGTGGTGGAGCAGCATGTTATATTTAACCTCATTAAAGAGATCTGTGAGGTTCTAACTTGTGACGCTCTTGTGAAATGCTAACGCCACATCAAAACCACCAAACGGAGATCAGTCAGTTGCATTTAACAATAATAATATTAATCCTTGCATTTGATATAGCGCCTTACCCTAAGTCTGCTGGAAAATTATTCCATTCCTTTTCTGTGTTAATCGATACAACTAAAGTAGCATTATAGATTTAAGGAGGTGGACAATAATTACCTTTCAAAAGAAAAATCACATGAATTACTGGCCTGAGAAGGAAAGATGGGACAAGACACAAATCTTAAAGCGCCACAATTCTTTTAGTATTAACGTATAGCTGAATTGCGTCATTTTGCTTAATTTAAATCAACCTTTATGTATTCTGTAGATGTTTACTTGTATAGTATTACATTTCCAGCCAGACTCTGTTGGACAATGTTTTGGCTCTGGTTTTTTTTAAAAAAAAACACATAAGCAATTACTACAAGTCTACCTATGGTAAATATTTTTCTATTTATCTGCTCTTCATTAAAGCCACGATCCTATCATCCCTGCAGAACATCAACCTGACATGTGTCAGGGTCACCCCATAAAATACACATAGGCTGTGCTATGCTTAATGACGGCAGATAGAAAGGATGAAAGATCGACGGTAGACCCAGCTGAAGTGGTTTAACAGGATCATCAGTTATGTCCTCAAATCTCCCGAGGTGATAATTGAATGACAGCAGCTACAGGAAAATCTATTTGCAAAATACAGAAAGAGGATGGCTTGTGGAAAAGCCTGTTTCTGTAGGGAGGCAGGCTGTCAACAGCAAAAAAAAGAATATTTTTTTTCTAAAGTCTCTTCTGTTGTTCTGGAGGGATTTTGCTGCTCTCCACCCAAGGCAATGTCAAACGGAAGAACGTGAAAATTAATAATTTCATGTCTCTGCACGGACCGAAACCCATTATTTTTTTGCCGACCGACTCCTCCGCGCTGCGCTCTGAAACCTCCAACCCCCCAACACCACCCCCCCCCGCCCCGTCCCCAAGCA